CATGCTTTTTTTTTTTGTTTGTTTGTTTTTGGTTTTTTTGGTTTTGCCATTTAAGTTGTTATTGCAGAATAAAAAAAAAGACATTTGTGCTGAATAACTGCCACATCCTAGAAGATGAAATTGTCTTGGAAAAAGGGCAGAAGCACTCACTCACTGCACTTTTATTTGATTATTGTTTTGTACAGTTTCACAGCCATAAAATCATAATAAATCCAGATGGCCCGTATATGATTCTGGTTATAATAGGGTTGTAAAAATCACAGCGAACAAGCTTCCCTGTCTCTGTTGTCTGTTGTGTTTTGCAAAAAATGTTTAAACCAGATCTTGAAATTGAATAAAAGTTGAAGCAGTGTGAACACATATTTGTAAACCCCTTCTTCTAGCATCCTGTGCTGAATGATATCTTTTCACACACCTAACCGAGTAATGTTGTCTGAGCTGTGGGGACGGAAGATGTGGAATTTAATCGAGACATTTTGTGACATTTTTTGTTTTGATAACAGGAACAGAAAATGTATTTACAACTTCTTCACAGTATTATTTTTAGGCATCTATACGGTTGTGATTTCATGTCACTGCAGTCATAGTCTCAAAACAAAACTGTCCTCCAAAAAGTATACTTTTTGTACTTGGCTGCATAAAGACATGTGGTTTGTTTTTAATTATTATGCTTCTCAAAGTAACCAGATTCAATCACATTTTTGGATTGATTAATCTTCACTTCTGCTCTCGCAGAACGAACAGTGGAGAAAATATCAAAAGTATCGACCTTGAGAATATTGTCTGTTTTGGGGGCGGGGGGTTGCTGGACAACTTAACCAACAAGCAAAGCAAACATAAGTTTCATATCAATAGATTTAGATACAGATCTCTTGATATTTGTATCTAAATATTTGTTCATATGTAGCATGTGGAGCTTGTTAATAAGGGAGTATTTGTTCATAGTACCCAGCATTGCAGTTACAGCTGCAGGTCCTTTGGACTATGCCTCTACCAACTTTGCACATCTGGACTGAAGTTTTGTCAAATTACATCCAAAAACAAAATACGTTTGTGGTTGTTGGGTGACAAAGTGAAAAACGTTCATACTTTTGCTGGGCACGGTATTCATCAACCGAGAAACCAAAGTCAGATATTAAGCTATATTTCTATGCTTTTACACGTCTGCATAAATCCCATCATGCCTGTAGATGTTCACTTATCCTGGAACACCCCCAGGGGGATGTTCATTTGATGTATTATTACTTCTCACAAACGCATGCCCTCTTTTCTCACTTTACCAGCTAATAAACCCTGAGGATTCACATCTACTCCAGCACATGTGCATATGCACTCCCCACTTCCTGACAAACTCACTAACACATCACACATACACACATTCAAGCATGCTCCCAACCCACTTGCCCGCAACAACCTCAAGGGAGACATAAGAAATAAATTCAACACTTCCGCTAACCCAAGAAGCGCCTTAAGGACAAAGAGAAATTTAATCTTGGATAAGCCTCCCGATAGAATCTCTGCATTAGCCCTCTGCTGCTGGTTCACAGCTATCCCATCAACCCTTACCTCCCACACCTTGGCCCAATTCCCTCGTATCTTTCCTCCGCCACATTGCTAGCTTCTTTTTCTTTTATTTCTCCCCAGTTTCTGCGCACAACTTCTTCTGTCTTCCCTCTTATTTCCGGAATCATCAGTTGCAATTCTGTTCTTTCACCTTGTTGTATCCATTCCCCATGTCTCCTCGTGCCTCAGCCTCCATCTCTCTGTCTACTCCCAGTTGTGCTACACATTGTATGGCTTCATATTTCTGTTCCACCGTCTTGTCGGGGTGCTTTAATACCATTGGTATTAAATGCCGGCACGACCTCCTCAGCATACTTAAGCAGGCATGGATCCATGTAAGGCTGTTTGAGTGCTTAATATTTTTAGCACGCTGCTGACTTAAGCCCCTTAAGTGCTTTGGCAACACTTATTCCACGGTGGCACCAATGAAGCCCATTAAAAATTTGATTTCGATGAGAAAGGAAGGCCGAAAGTAAAGAGAGGAAGGGGGGGTGTCAGGAATCTTCCTTCGCTTTCAAACACATTGCGACAAAAAAACAAATACTCCCATCAGGGGGGCTGCCCACACTGGGGCTTTGCAGACATACCATTGCGCTCATACTCGTGCGATGATTTGCAATGTGTTTTCTTTCGGTCTGTAATTATGTTCGTTCTCGCTTTATAAAGCACTCTGCAATGACCCTATTTGGTTAAAAGCTGTTGATAAATTAATTTGACTTTATTTGACTTGATAATAGGGAACAGGGTGTTTCCGATTGAACTGGAGACAACGTTTGTAAATAAAGCCTAATTACAACACATAGTTTATGATCAGCTGATTAAGGACAAGCAGAGGTGCTATTATAAAAGCAGAATCGTGTTGCTGTTCTCGGTTTACAGAACAATGAATGTCAAAGACGAAGAGCCTGGTGTAGTTAGCGCCCGCTATTGGCTTTGTATTGCCGGTTTTATGGTCAATAGAAGTAATGATGGTACATGTGGGCATCAGCTTGAACAAAGGAACTGCATTATGCTTGATGTGTTAGTTCAAAATGTGCTGACAGACTGATTAGGCTCCTAATAAATTCTGGGTTCCAACAATAAAAGTTCAGGGCAGATTTCTTTCAACGGGGCATGTTAACATCAGCATAACTAATCGAACAGAATTACTAAACATAATTACAGTGCCATACAAAGATGCTAATACCCCTTTAACTTTTCACATCTTGTTACATGGCAACCACAAACCTGAATACATTTAGTTGGGATTTGTTGTAAAACAGTCTGACATTATAGAAGTCTACTTTATTCGGATAATCTTGAATTTGTGCTATGACTTAATATAACACAGTTTCATGGGTATTACTGCTTTTGGAAGACAATCTAAGCCCATGTTTTTTGGGTTTATTTTCTGTTTTGGACACAAAACATGCAAACGTACAGAGCCATGGATATTCCCATGGCTCTGTAAAACCCGTAAAACTGTTCATTAAACATAAAGAGGCACTATGAGGTTTTTCTGTGACTCTGCATGGGTACATTAATGGGCAGCAGACAGTGAAAGAGGCAGACATTCAAACAAATGTACACCCTGCTTTAGCCAACACTGGACAGTCAAGCACATTCACGTGCAGACACACTCCGCCACTGTTTTTCGACCTGAAAGACCACCATTGTCAACGGCACCATCCCCAAATGCACATCTCTAACCTTCACAAACTTGAATTTTAAAATATGCAGACACTGATCCAACCCTGACAAAAGCACATTTTCTAAGCAGGGGGAGGGAAGCCAAGCTTATATAAACAAGCGGAGGACAGTAAAGGGACAGATGGATGTGATCGGCGGCGTTCGCACTTTTGGGATTTTAACAGGCTTTGTAGATTACGGGGAATGAAGAGAAACAAAACAAGGACGCACTTTTGGGAACTAACAAGCTGCTGCGAGAAGGCAGACTGAAGGAGCAGGACTAAGAGAGGACTCGAGGACAGATAAACTAAAGACAAATTGAGGGATCAGTCTGAGCACGTGAATGCGTTTAGTTTCCATCTGTGCTGCACCAGGCCTCAGACTGGCCGTACACAAGCTGCTGGTTGCACACCAGCTGAGAGCAATTTTCCCTGCAACAGCCAGTTGACCGATGAAGTAAGCGCTGTGGAGAAGACTTCTGATGAGCCACTTTCTGCTTTGCCCGAGGTGTCAGGGCCATCGCCGTCAGAGCTCATCGTGTTTACAGCGGGACAGAGAAACAGGGCGAGGCGTGTGTGTGTAGTGATATTAAAATGACACCCACACTTTATTCCACCAGATAGTGCTCAGCGAGGTGTGCGGTGCTGCTCGTCACGCTTTGTTTTACTCGCTTATGGATACCCTCACACACACAGACACACACACGTCACAGAGCTGCACGCCTCACCAAAAGATCACATCAGGTTCTGATAATCAGCGGCGCTCTGCCACGACCTTAAACACAGCAGGTTTCAGATCAGCGCCTGTAAGAAAGTGTGTTTCTGGATTCCGGCAAGCGGTTCTGTTGCTGCCGGTGGAGCAGGCTGGATAGGAAGCGTTAGAAAGGTCGATGCTGAACGATCATGCAGGCTGATAACCTATGATTATTCTGAGAAGTGTAAATTACCATGAAAAATCACTCTCCATTCAGTGTGCACAAGGTAGTGTATTGATGAGACCCCAGCAGCTACGTGAATAATGTTATGGAGAAATGGCAAACAGAAATATCTGAAACTGAAGCAGCTTGCTGAAGCCTTTGCGAGTCGGCCATTCAACACAGACCAAGTACTTTCACTCCCAATCTTTAAAGTGCAGCACTCGACTTGAGGACTTTTATTTAACTTTAGATATCTCTAAATGAGTTTTAGTGAGCGAGTCAGTCTCTCCAGAGCTCTGGTTGGCTTTGGGTATATAGCTCAGAAGAACATTGACTTCTGATTCCTGATTTGCTGTCTGAGAAGCACAGAAACTTTCCTTTTTGATCCATTTGTAAATACAGTGTATTTGACAATTTGCTTGAGGATTCAGTGATGTCGCATATTGCTTTCAGCCTCTGAGATAAGTTGGTCTTGCTTTGGAAGACAGCTTTGGGTTATATCTAATTAAATTACATGGATTTTGATGTTTTCAGGTACAGAGTAGTGTGGTTCTACGTCGACATGCAGACGGTTTGCTGGTGTGGTTAAGGGTTGGCTGATCATTAGATATCCTTTTCTTCAGAATATCTGTTTCTCAAAGTGTGAAACTGTGGTACAGAGTTGTTAATTAGGTTGTTGTTCATTCAGTCAGTTGCATAAGTGCATCTGTTTGGAAAAAGAACATCATTGCCCTGTACTGCCATTTGAAGATCTAGCACAAGAAAAAAAAAAAAAAAAAAAAAAAAAAAATTTTTTTTTTTTTTGTTTCCTTTTCCCCCCGGAAAATTTTTTTTTTTTTTTTTTTTTTTTTTTAGATATTTCCAGCTGTCTAAATGATTTCTTCTTATAGACTAGCACAAGTTGCTATAGTCTGTTGAGAAACTGCCACGTTAACTCCGTCTCTTGATGATTTTTGATGTAGAATTTAAGATACTAACTCTGTGGTTACCCAGAGCTCTTAGAAACTGCTTTGTTACCCACGTAAGCCTCTGACTGCAAGCTCGTCCTGTGTGTCCTTGCTACAAAAACAAGTTTCATTGCTTGTGCTCTGATAGAGGGTTCTTTCTTTAAGAGTTCTTTTATTTAAGTGTCGTTCCCAAACAACTTGTGTCTAACAGCACTGAAGTAAAAGCCGAGCTGCCTCGCACGTGTCTGCAGCATTGCAGTGGAGAACAAATCCAAGTGCATTGGTGCATGAGTGAGTGTGTGTTCAGAGCTGTGTCTCTGTAGCAGTTCAGGCAGGGTTACAGAAGAGTCATTGATCAAATCTGCACAGCCACTCACACTTGCAGGCTCAGACATACACACAACACACATCTTCGACCTGAATACACAATGAGGCCTGTCCGGAGCTCTGGCCTCTGCTGCCTCCTCCCTGGATCTTTCTCGCTGACTCTGCACAGCCTCGTCCTGGTCCTGCTCTTACTCTTCATCACTCGTAAGTTCATGCAACGCATTTACAGTTGTAAATCGAATGAGATGTGCTGCATTCAGTTCAGGCTTGTGAAGCCAAGTCCACCTTTTAGGGGGCTTGACTTTGTAAGTTTTGTATGTTAATCAAAGACATAATTGCATTCTTTTTTTATTATTATTTTGCACACTTGTCTTGATATTTAAGAATTTTATTCTTCACTTCAACAGCATGAACCAGATTCAGTGTCGCCCCTCTTTGAGATCAAAGAAAAAAGTAAATACTTTTCTACAATAAAAATAATGTTGAGCAGTCCATCAGTTATCTAATAAATCTAATGAATAAACCTTATACTTAAAAGAATTAACATTTTTAAACAATGGTTAAAGGACATCAAACTTGAAAGATACAATGATTCAAAATCACCTAAGCCAAGATTTTAAATATTCTTACTATATGATATCAGTGAGTTGGTTACAAGGTATTGATATTATATATGTAAATATAATATGCTATACAAACAAGTCTCTTCTGACTTTTTACTCTTCACTGTAACTTCAAATGCAGGAAATGGTTTTTGTGCCTTTTTTCATCTCTTTGGAAGAGGCCGCCTTATGTCAGAGGTTTTTTTTTTAGGGTTTTTTGTTTGTTTCAACACTGAAGAAAATCGGCACCAGGGCTTTGTGTCATACGGTGACCATACAGAAAGGGCTCGACAGACTCACCCGTAGTGACCTTGTCTTGTTGTACATTGTGCTGTCTGGAATGCAATATTGTAAAATTATCCAGTACACCCACATCAAGTATTGGATAGTTATTTTTATTTTTTTTATTTCAATGGCATATGAAGAAATAATGCCACGGGAAGAAACACAACAGCGTTGCCTTAACGTGCATCGGCTACTGTAGCATAAACAAGTTGATAAGCAGGTAAACCAGGCTGCCAGGTACATTTCATCCAAAAAAAAAAAATTCCACATGTTCCACGTTACGCTGTGTTGTGTTCACTGGTGAGCACCAAGTTACTTCGACATGCCGGATGCTTGAAAGTGAAAGAGAAACTAAACACCTCACTTCCTTTCCGATTAATTTTACTTGTTCTTACCTGACCACTTGGAGGCATTGATGTAGCATTGAAATTTGATTTCCAGATAGTTAGAAATTCCCTAAACATAATTAGGTATCCTGTTTGATTATGCTGAAGACAGTGAATTCCACATTCCACATTAATCTCAATAAACTAATGTATCACATACAGACCGACAGTATGTACCGTAATCATCTCTGCACATACCAGCACACCTGGGAAAATACAAAACATTTTTTCTCAACCCTCTTCTCCCCCAGGGGAAGCAGTGATGTTGCAAATCACTGCTTTAGCAGGCAACTAATAGATTTTAGACTTTTATTTCAGACTCAATGTCCAACTAAAAAAAGTAACTAAATAACAAACTACCAAACAACTATCTATTAGTTGGGGGAATGAGTGCAAACGTGCTTCCACTGACAAGACAAGCCATTTTATTGTGAGGGCAATTTATGTTCATTTAAAGGAAATTTCTTACAGATGTAAGTTTAAATGCAGCAATGGAGTGTTCCTTTTATCTTAAAATGGAACTCTGTTGTGAATATGTGAGTGATTTTTGCAACATTATAGTAAATTAGACTAGGAGCAGTGCTAAGCACATGAAATGTCTTTGGTGGAATCACAAAAAGGCAGCGTTTGAATTGTTTAAAAGGATTTAATTAAACCAGAATTAGTAATGAATATTAAGAACTGGGAGGAGTTGATGTAAAAGTAGGACCTAACAGAAAGATTTAATGATACAATGACTGGACCAAAGGATCTAACTGTAAATTTAATCAAAAATAATTAAAAGACAGAGAGAGAGATAACAAAACAAAGTGGTTTAAGTCTTTTTTTTATCAGCTTATATCAGAGAAATCTAATCAAAGAAAGTTTGACTCTCAAGACAAACCAAAAGAGAAGGTGGTAAAATAAAGAATGACGTGGAAAGGTAATGCTTGGCAGGCTAATATGTACCAACAGAGAAACTAATTGACACAAAGAACGAAAGGCTTGGTCAGATAGTGCTGTGCAAGATGGAAAGGGAGGGAGTGGCTGAAGGCGGAAAAAGAGAAAAAAGTGAGACAGAGATGGAGAACAGTGCATGCAGTGTGTGTACGGAATAAAGACAGAGATGGAGGGGATTGGTACAGAGATAAAACAAGGCACAGGGCCTCAGAGAGATGAAGCAGAGTCATAAATTGATTGAACACAGGCTACGGAAAAGTCAGAGGTGGAGGGAAATTTCTATTAATGCATCTTTTTAATCCATAGGGGTGTTTTGGTTTTATTACTGCTAACTAGAGCAGCATTGTGCTGAAGTTTTAATTCAACTCCTTGTTTTGTTTTTTTGTTTTTTTTTTGTTTTTGTTGTTTTTCTGCTGATGTTGAGGAGGGATTTTGGATCGGGTGACAATGAATGTTGGAGTACAAGAATAAAAAGGGGATTGTGTCTTGGCAGTCATCTTGGTTATGTAATTAATGCCAGTAGAGCATTTTCATTTGGGCTTCGAAATTATGCTGCTCACACACATTTAATAGATATTTGGTTTTAAACAGTATTCACAGTATTTTCTCACAGACATCTTCCAATTATGTTTTACTACCCTGCGGTTTATATTTTTCTCTTTTAAATAGCGTTAAGACCAGCTCTTTTGGCCACTGTGAATCTCCTGTGTCGTTGCAGATGTGTAATAGCCCTGTAAATTTCCTTTAAGCTGCTGTTCTGGTGTAGAGGGTATTGTGTGGCGGCTTTTGTCGCAGGATTGTTGGGGCTGTGACAGACGTCGACCATAAAATGCTGCAAAGTAGACGACTCTAACCAGCTCTGTCCAGAAAGGAAAAGAAGGGGGACAAAAAGGAAACCGAGCAGCCGATGGAAGAGAGGGTTGGGACAAGACAGAAGCAGGGTGATTGCAGTATGCCAAAGGGCAGATAAGACATAAAGATATGAAGGTCAAACTGAGAGATATGTGGAAATGAAGTGCCAAGATGCTAGACATTAAGGGGATATGTGATGAGAATAAGACAAGTGATGACAGAGGAGAGTGAAATCTTAATGTGATTGTGAGAAAAATTACTTTTAAAAATATAGGTGGAGCATAGTGCCGTTTTCAGTTTTAACAACACACTTTCATGGATGTTTTGGGGATTTCATGTGATTTACCAAAACACAACAGTGCATTTGAGTTCAGCCACCAATACTCTGATACAACCTGGATGAAAACCTTTCAACCAATCGCCTCGAGATGTCACCTAACTTCATGGTTCCGGACCATTGTTGAAACATGGACTGGTTTAATATCAGGCAAGATTTTCACACACTGGCCTTCAAGGTGTGGCGGATAAACAAACTAAAATAAAATTATATGACTGGCATAAAAACTGGGGCATTTTTAAAATATCGTAATAAATCCAATGTGTACTCGCAGCTTTATTAGCAGTGTCCCCGTAACATCACGCCAACAACATCACACGAGTAATGGCTCTGTTCTCTGATCACTACGGCAACATTTAAGCATAGCTTTAAAATAAGATATACAACAAGAACAAACATAAAGGGCATGAAAAATACAACTCACCAGCACAGTGCTGAGTCAGTGGAATCCCTGTGCCTGTTTCTCTGTAACAAGTCTGTCCCATCTAGGGCAGTTTAGAAGGCTTCATTGCCTCATTAGAAAGCCGGCTACCACATATTATGCAGAGCAGGCTTGGTGCACGGAAATCACCTGTCGCGATAACTTCATATTTTAAGTAGGTCTCCAGGTATTGTCGGCTAAATGTAGCTTTCTTTTTCTTGGAAGTTGTAGACTCTTCTCTCGTCTCTTCACTGGACCTTTTTCCCTTTGCAAAGAACGTTTCCAGAGACTTTTATGTACTCATTTTGCTAGCTTGTGGGTACGAATCATGTGGAGACACAGGAGACGGGCCCTACGAGTGAGGGACAGACAGATGCAACAGAGAAAATCTGGTCATTTTCCAAAGTAAACTTTGTTCAGATTCAAATATTAAATGAAACGGAAATATTGTAAGTTCTTTCTGTGCTGGCTAGTACCAATTAACCCCGGGGATTTGAGACCCCTGACCTAATCCATACAGTCACCCTGTATGTAATTTATTCTCCGTATAAATTCAGCTGTTCTTTGAAGGCTTTAGATGTTTTTCAATCAACACTGGTGAACGAACAGGACCATAAAAACCAGGGAGCCTCCCACGCAAGTCAGGGATGAAGTTATGGAAAACATAAAGTCAGGACTGGGGTATGAATCAATATCACATAATTCATCCATGGTAACTCTGCAGCAGTGAGAGGTTGAATGTTATCCGATTAGACGAGACCAAACGTGAATTTTTTTGCTTGCTTGCAAAAGCTATGTGTGGTGGAAAACAAGCACACTGATTTTCTGTAATTGGAAGAATGTCTCTCAAGAGAGTCAGATTGGCCTTCATCCGATCTGACTGCACATAGAAGATTGGGCATAAATGCTTGTCACCAGATGTGCACAGAAATAATTGCAGCAACAGGTTGTTCTAGAAGGTATTGACTCGACATCATTTTGCACTCATGCTGTATTTTGTGAAGGTCTTTCTTTTCAAAGTCCTATAAAATGCATTAATGTTTGTGGAGAAATTTAAGCTGCATGAAGGAAAAACCTGGGCTACACAAAAGCCAAATAAAGCAATCTATATCACAAGGAGAGCAAAATTGCAAAAAAAAATGACTATTTTCTCCATTCATATGCTTTGTCCTTTTGTCCCTTATAGTCCTTTGCCCATCCAACTTCCCCCTACCCGCATCATGGCCTTACCTCCTCTTTTCCGCTAGAAAAGCAGCACAATTATCCTGCAGACTTGAGCTGCAGAACAAATCACTTTATTGAAGGAAAGTGCATAAGATAGAACTAGCAGAGAACAGAAAGAGAGACAGGAAAAGATTCCCACTGAGTCACAAAAAGAGACA